CAAATCAGATATGAGTAATATAAAGTAAGTCACGGAAAAATACTTACAAAATGCTTGCAGACATCACATTTTGGATGATAGTTTTCTCTATAGCATGATTTATGATAAGGGTAATTCCCAGATGTGGAGAACTACAAAAGCAAGGATTGATATAAGTACATGCGTATTAAGAATAAAAAAAAAGAAAAAGGAAGAGCTTCACCAGCCACTTGAAATTCACACACCTCATAATCAGAGATTGGGAGGTTGCAAGCACGGCAGCGGAAGCATTCAGGATGCCAGAATGCACTCAAGCAATTTAGATACCGTCCATAACCAATCTCAGTATTACAACCAGCACAAATCCTATAAGTAAATGAACAGATTTAATTATGTCAGCATCACGTGTATAATTGATTACATAACAATACATAAAAAGAGAAATGATCTCTAACCAAAGTTGATCCCTTTGAAGCTGTAAAGGATTACTTTATATCCCATGTTTACCAATGTTATTTCCCCCCCTTTTCAAATTTAAATATGGTTCATGCACATAAGAAGACATAGCACTGAGATTGTCAACAGTAGCATAATTCAGCAAGCCATGACTACATCCATCATTGTATTCTAACACAATCACCCAAATAAGAGATGAGATTACTCTCCATAGCCTATACCAAATGCATATTTTGATAGTATTTCGGTAATATTGATCCAATCCTTAGCTAACACATCTATGATAATAAAATGCTTAATAGAGTCCGTGAACATGTGATCCATAGCATTCAATATATATATAAGGATAAAAGGGAGATTAGAAGGGGAAATGAACGACCAAGTAAGTTCAATAGCATATGTCTTAATAGAAATTCCAAAAAGAATAAGCAGTAGCACAACATGTATCAGGGCAAAAGGAGAATACTGACAATCAGAAATTTTAAGCACATGACAAATTGTGAATGAAAAAAGTTCAGATGATTCACTTAGCATGTCCATTTAAGTAGTCAAACTAAATAACGGTTAAAAATATAATACCCAGAACAGACAACACAGTTATCCTTTCTCCAACTCATACCTGGACCCTATGGGGAAATACACCGGCATCGGTTGATACATATTTCCGTTTCCATATCTGGGAGGAGACTCAACATTTAGACTTTCTTGTATAGCTCTAGCAAGTTGTTCATCTTCTTCTAATTGTGACTTGCGGTCTAAATAGGACAAAAAATCGTTAACATAAACATTTATATATTTGATCTTCAGAAAAACACAATTTAGAGCCTACAAAGCTGCAAAAAAAAAAAAAAAAATTGTGCAAATGATTGATTAACATTTAATGCTCCTCAAGGACATAGCATAATTTCACTAGTAGATAAACAGTCAAAATAATTATACGAGAGCCAAATAACAGATGCAGATTTACATCATAAGACCAATCCATTGTGCATTATTGAGAGACAACATGAACCAGCGAACATTTTGAACATAGAAAGCCAGATAGAGTATCAATTCAAGTAAAAATAGACATGGAGTGATGATTGGAACTGATTCCATGGCGAAAGCTATGGCTTCAAACAAGCACTAATCAAAATGATGTTTGCTGATTAGTAAAAACAATATTCAAGAAACTCTGAGCATCATTGTACATAAGTACACAACTTTGAAAATCTTATTAACTTAGATAAAAACTCCCCCACTGAATATTAAAATTTGGAAATTGTAGACGAACTGCAACATTTTAAGAAAAGATACAAGCAACATCCTGGAGTAAAATCCAGCAACCAATTACTAATTCCTGGAGGTGACAGATTCTAGCGAGAAAGACCACCAAATGGTCACTACACTGATATATATATATATATATATCAAAATCGCATTTAAAAGTTATGCCACTCACCATTTATGTTCTTCCTTCGCTGATTTTCCTCTACCAGAGATAGTGCAATAGCACGATCTATATTTTCATTCTCATTCTCTGACCAGACATCCTGCATTCAAATTCCCATTAAAATGAACCAGACAGAAAGATGAGTGCATCAAATTAACCAGTTAACAAATCCAGACAACTTATCAAAGGCTAAAATGGAGCTCGATAAATGAATGCAATAAAGTAGAATTTGTGGCATTTCTCAGTTCTTCAGATGACTATTGAAGATTTCAAATCAATTTGCCAAAAGGGAACAAAAAGAAAGAGAAATTAAAAAGAAGTTAACAATTGCATTACCCCTGAAGTTGATGGTAAGTAATAATCTGTATCCTCTCTATAATTTGCATTATAACGCCCTTCCGAAATTTTATGGTCAGAGCCTTTAAAAATTTTGCTAAGCCAACCCATTCGGCAATTCCTATATGTTCATGGTATTATTAATTTCTACCTGCAAATTAGACATCCACGCAATCGAACATGGTCAAAGCTCTTGGTAATGCAAAATAAGAGCAAAAATTCCGACCATTGTCTCCAGATCAATAAAAGAAAACAAACGTCAATAATAATCAATCTGCTCGACATAATTATTTCATGCATCTAAATCAGGTGAAACTGCCGCGAGACAGAATACAATAATACCATCAGAAGGCATCAACAATCCAGAAGAATGAAACAAATACAACAGCATTTGGTCTCAATTGCATGCGAGCCTCAATAAATAATTAAAACCTTTGAACTGCAAATGGTCCGCAGAAGCTATGGTTATATCGCAGACAAAAACAACTCATAAGAGGAAGAGAGATAGGCATAGATTCTTATTCTTCCAGCTCAATGTACCCATTAACTTCGTGACATCTGAACTCCAATTACTGACTTAGAATAAAAATATAGGGCGAGGTAGTGGAGGAGTGACTTACCTCTTAATAAACGCAAAATCTGCTGGTGCTCGAAGCACGAGTCACAAACCCAAGCAGATTATTCGACCACAAAAGAAACGATCACAGGGAAAAGATATTATCTTGCAGCGGACCTTTTCCCGTATTCTCTCAAGTTTATGATCTAATTCGCAAGTCAGAAAACTACTTTAAAATTAAATTCTGCGTGTCTGCAAAAGAATCTATGAAAAATCAAGGATTTCTAGAAACAAATAGGAACGAAAGAACTTTGGATCATTGACAACTTCAGGGATTACAAGCAAACTTTTTTTTTTTTGGGGAAAAAAATGCGTGTGTGAACAGAGATTATGACCAGAACCGCACGCGACTTCGAAAGTCAAATTAAAAGAAACGCAAAACATTGATCAAATAATTGTCATCACCCCAAAGGGGTTTGACGAAAGATCGTGGAATGCACTTGATATTGAGAATTTCTACCAGTTGGAAGGATTAGAAGGCATGTGGGGCCCCTTCTTAACTCTGCCTTAAGGAGACCCCAATGCCAAAAGTTTCTTTACGAAAGGTATAATAAAGAAGGGACAATACAAGAGTCCCTATCTGCTTTTATTTGTTTTGGTTTGGAGCCGAAGCGAGCGTACGCGGTTCACAAGGTTTGATTCGATGTCGACGGTGTCACGGTGAACAGTTCAAAAGTCCGAATTTTATCAGGGGGAATATAACTATCTAGGTTTGCCATTGCCTTGCCAGCTTAAAAATGTTGAGTGTTAAAAGTTCGAACTCGTGCCATGAATTTTAAAACATGGTAGTAAGCCACAAAGGCATGGACTAGCTAGCAAGCACGCGTTCCTTTTATCATCTCAAGGTTCCTTGACGTATGTGCTGCTTGTTGTTCCCTGTTTTTGTCTTCTCACAGTTCATTGTCACGAAGTCGTTATTCTTTCTTCAAAAGACTAATTTACAGCATGTCTATTTTTATAATCAAAACTCTTTCTAATTCCCTTTAATATGAGACATGATAGCTCCCCTAATCAATTCATAACTCTCCCATCACAGATGGCTCATTAAAGGGACCTATCAACTAAACAAATTTAGATATAGCTTTGGTACTACTTTATCGTTGAGTTATTGCTCTTCCTCTTAAAAGGCTAACCTATTGGGTTGTGTAATGCATTTATTTATATAATTAGAACCCTCCTCAAATTCTTTCAACGTGAGACATGACAACATTATGTATTTGTGAATACTTCATGTGTTATTTTTTTTTTTGACCAAATAGGACTGTTTTATAATGCCTGGCTTATGTTTTGATGTTCGTCTCTTGTCTTCCTTCAGAACGTGATCTGAATCATCAATTAAATGAAAACAACCTCTAGAATATAAAGCTTCATCCAAATTTGCATTACAAATACTCCTTAAGACGTTTAAGAATTTATTATAATTATAATTTTTTCCTTCGAAAGTATTATGGGCTACAGTTTGTAGTATATATTAGTATGTATGGTAATTCTGGGGCTCTTGCAAGGCAAAGACTTCCCCAGGGATTGGTGCTCACTTCAGCAGTAACCCATGGAAAAGGTCAGAAGATCCTTCGCATATTGAATTCAGTTTCAGTGGAATGTGAAAATAATTCAAGAAGGAATGTATTTGAGGAATTAGCATAGCCGAAGAAGAAAAGAGGCTTTTTTTTATTTTTTTATTTTGGGCAAAGCCAACACAAGGAGATTCGTTTTTATGGACGTCGATTTATATTTTTAAATTATTACATAATTAACGGTGATGACAAGGTGCCATCAATGCTTCAATCCCTCCAGGACCAGATGGTGTGTTCTAGTACTAGACGGCTTTCATCCGGGCTCGGCTTGGCGCCATTTCTTTATTTTGCAACTCTTTTTTGTATTAAAAAAATTGTATAATAAAAAAAACATATAATCATGAGTTATGATATGACCACCAATAGGAGGAAATCCTCGGGGAATTGATCAATGTCAACATTGGTGGCTATGGTTGCAACTAATTCAAGGTAATAGGCTAACCATTCTGAACTAATTCAAGATATAACTAACCAAAGGGAGAAGAAACATTAAATAGTAATAGTACTTTTTTGAAGCGATCTTGCCTCTTGCGAACGCCGGCAACAAACAAACAAACAAACACTTTTTTCCTCGCTGTCAATTCTCGTACTCTCTCTTTAATTACTCTTTTCAGGGTAAACTATCAAATTTATACATTCAACAATTTACGAGGGGAAAAAGATATATGCCAATAATCAAAGAAGAAGAACAAGAAAATTGAGAGATTAAGGTACAAGTGGTGGGGAGGTTTGACGAAGTCTTAAGCACAGGAGAGCCTTTACTGGCTTGTGATCAGAACCGTTTATTTCGTCCATTGATTCATAGGAGCGTAAAATTGCTTCCATGTTATCCGTGTCTTCTACCTTGAACAATATACGATCTGTCCAAGCTGGTACCCTCACCTGCATGCATGTATCCATCCAACCAACACAAATTTGTATAAATCTGTAACAAAATAATAAATATAGTCCACACATGTATGGAAAATGGACGTGGGAGGAAATTGAATTGCGGTGATACATACCTTATAACTCGTATCATAGGTGCTACTTCCTACATTATACTTGTAAGTTGGCCTGAATGTCAAGGTGCCCTCACAATACCCATTGAATATCTGTCCTCGTCCTGCCTCTTGCAACAGCTGATCTTTGCCAAGCAGCTGCTGAATCAATTGAAATGTAATAAAGAAACCTTCTGTTAGATTTGAAGTAGTTCTGCAGAGTCTGATGTTGTGATTGACAAATGGTAGCTGTACTAACCCCGTGCAGGTCCTTCTGTATCAGAGTTCTGGCCGGGTGGGTATCGATCCCTTGTAGCCTGTAGTTCAGATCTCCCAACCAAACGGTGACGTGGGCTGGTCTGGCATATGGATTCCAGTTCTTGGAGAAGAGGGAGTGTGATATGTGCCTGCATTCTGAATTCCTGTCTTCTACCCGGCCCGCATGAGCTGCACAATCAGGCACACAAGTGAGCACTCACCTGCTCATCGTGTACCCTTATTTCCTTCATTTAATTTTGTTCGTGTGTGAATGCGAATGGAATGCAAACAAGGTTTACCAGAGAGATGGCAAGAAATGAACACCATCCTTATGCCTTCGTAGTTAACCCAGATCGCCACTGCCCCTTTCTTCCTTCCAATTATTCCTCCGCAGCCTCCAACTGATTGTTTGTCCACCTTCAATTCTGCATGTATATGTATAACAATATGATGATCATATTATATACGAATCTCATCAATATTAGTCATAGCCATGTATCAAGATAGAGAAGACAAAGAACGAATACTTGGGCAACAAATCACACCTCTAATAGATGATCCTGCTGCATTCTTGGGTCCGAACAGGTACAACTGCAAAGACTGCATGATAACTTTACCTATCAGGCTTCATTTCAGGCAAACGAGAGAAAAAGAAAAATTCGAATGAGTTAACAGAAGCTAAATAAAGAATTTAAAAGGCCAATGAAGACAGAACTTGAAAGTGTTTTTTTATGCATTTATTTGCTCTTGGATATTGGAGTCTTTCATTTTAAACAAATTGACGCTGACAGTGCATATCAAATTTAAGAATATATAAGATTTCATCATGATCAGGTGAATTGGATTACTTGTTAAGCGTAATTATCCTAAAAGTCTAAAAGTGACAGCGTTGGGTATTCTATTGGTCCAGTCCCGACGTGACATTTGAAGGGAGAATGCACGAACTCGTTGTGACGAAACCAAATGGAGAAAAAGGATGTGATATATTTTCAAAATGGTGCTCGGTAGCAGATGATAACCACCTCTTAATTATTACAGTGTCAATTATGTAGTTATTCAAATTAATAAAGATAACACGAAAAGGGCTGTGTTTGCAACAAGTCATAATTAGATAAGAATTGGATAAGCTGGAACCTCATATTCCTCGTTCAATATATGTTAAGATTTTCAACAAAGAAATTAAGGGTAGAAAATGGAGAAAGCCATAGAAACAAATTGATGAGGCCAAGCAGTTACATGTGAGTTTGAACCAGAGCCGCTTTCAGCAGCTTTGCAACTTTGTTTCGTGGAGCCTCCTGCAAGCCAATGACAAGAAGATCAAACTCGCAGTTGTCCCCAACCATCTCTGCTAGATCCTCAAAGGAAACCTGCACAGGGAATAAAATGAACATGGCAAAGTGAAATTTCAATGTAGAGATCAAAATCTGAAGTTGTGGAGGCACAGTTAACTGCACCTGGCCGTTCATATTCCAAGTTACTATGGAGACACGGAGTTCTGAACCGGTGGACAAGGTACAAACTTTGTCCACGTCCACAGTTCTTATCCCTGCGTGCGAGGGGGAAGCTTGGTGATGAATGAAACCCATTGGCTCTCTCCTCGTCCTCGTTTTCAGTCCGCAAAATCTGACCCAAAGAAGAAAAGAACAGTAAATATATATATATATGTGTGTGTGTGTGTAGGAAAATAGCAGAAAACAAACAGCATGAGACTCCAACAAAAAGTTTATATCAGAATTATCCCTTTCATAACCGTACCCTTTACCGTGTTGATTCCCCATTGTGCAAGTTGATTGCGATTATTAATTATTGTATTTGGCAAACGAATCCCTGATCTGGTGCCAAGCGTGAATTCCCAGAGTAAGTGTGAAGACAAGACGATAGTGTTTGAGCGATGGAGCGCTGAGAAGTCATTTAAGAAGAGGGAGATATGAAAATTTAAAACGTATTGACTCTGCACCCTCATGATTAAATGGCTATATATAAGGGCTTGATAAGGCGGTGTACAAATTAAAGGAAGAGAAGTCAAACGTCTAAACAATTCGAATGTGCAACTCGTATTGCTTTTCCTGACGGGTTAGGTTCAGGCTGGTTGAAAATGGCACGGAGAAGAAGGAAGTGAAAGCAAAGTTGAAAAGGACCGTTGCAGATTGGACTATCCACGCTCCATGCAGTTGACGTTAAGCAATCTAACTCCGTCTCAGACTCTCAGAGTTATCCGTACACTGATCCACTGATTTATGCTATAATATCCATCAATCAAATAGAATTTATAATAAATCATACTATTCATCACGAGTCTTGAATGATATGACACTAGATCAAATTTGGTGTGAAGATGGAATTCATAGTCAAGTTGTCAACAAAAAAGGACCTTTGCAATGCGTTTATATAACATTGCGATAAAATTTGCATCAGTGTAATTTAATTGCCACTATTTTTGTAGTAATTATGCAAAAATATCTACTGTTGACTTTTCATGCAAACCGTTATTTTATAATATTCTTTGACAAACCATTTTCCTTGATGATGATGCCCTTTACTTTAGTAATTGGGCTGGCAAACCATTTTCCGACTTCACCACGTGACCAGTCTAATTAGATGCATCAGATAATTTTAAATTTAATTTTGCTGGTGTTCATCGTGCAAAGAAAAAAATAATAATAATTATAATAATTTTTTAATGTTTTAACTTTCAATTCACTTATAAATTTTTTAATTATAACTCGTTGTGATTCAATTTTTTAACTTTTAACTCTTTTATAACTTAGTCTCTCAATTTTTATTGACTCTCTTTTTTTCTATTAACTTAAATTTCACATCAAAAGATAAGATGAGAATATTTTATAGTAAAATATAAATATTTTTTTATTTCTTTTAGTTTATAAGGATAAACTTTTAAAAAAATTTAAAAAATAAGAATTAAGTTATAAGTGAATTAAAATTTGAGGGACTTATTCGCAGCGAATTATCATTGAAAAGATTGAGTCACAGGTGATTTAAAAATTGAAATATTGAAAGATTAATTTTCAATATATACACACACACACACAAAAAGCACCGCAGGCATGAATAACATGACTATCAGTCAAACTCTTTATGAAGCTACATCTAATTTATTCAAGAGTATTAGGATGTACAATACTAAAAAAAAATAATTACCATGACTTAAACAGTGGCTCATTGGGGATCTTTTATTTCTTCATTCGTTTCACGTTATAACACCTTGTAAAGTATTATGTTTCAATTTGTAAAGTTACTTGTAGATTTTTATATGCAATCAATATTTTTTTATAAAAACATTTTAAGAAATATATCAAAATCACTTTTCAAGAAAAGAGTAATTATTAGAAATAATTATTAATAATAAATATTAAATAAATGAAAAGTTACCAAAAAAATTGTGAAAAATTAACTAACCAATCACCAGTTCTTTTAAAATATTTAAATCAATGTGCGTTGATTAAGGGTCCATCTTTCGTAATCATTGTGATAAGATCGGGATTGTTCAAATGGTTTAAATTTAAAGGTTTTAACTTTTATTTTATGTTTAATAAAATAAACAATTATAAATTTTTTTAACAAATAGTTTATTATCAACAAGGATAGTACAAATTTAATTTAAATAGTTCAATTTAATATTAAAATTTTATAAATCGATCACCCAAATTTATATTATGAATAATCTAAATTTAATATTATTTTTTTATAATTTTTATTTTCATAAATATCACATTAAAAATAAACATAACATCTTAATTGATACTTTTAAAAAACATTTTTAAAAATGATTATAAATTAAATTGTAAATTTAAAATTTAAATTTAGTCTGTTTAAAGTAAATTTGAATAGTAAATTTATAAAATTATAAAAAATTTAATATTAAATTTGAATAATCTAAATTAAATTTAAACTATCAAGTTAGTACTAAATTGATTTATTAAAAAAATTTACTCCCTCTTTTAAAAAATATAAGACAGTTTTTGAGAAATTGAATGTTAAAAAATACAAGACATTTTTGTATTTTGATGTTTAATCGTTGTTTTTTTTTTAAAGGTATTTCTATCAATAATGACTTTATTTTTATTGTAAAGTATTTAATAAGGGTAAATATGAAAAAAATATGGTTAGTTAAAAAGGTAACTACTTTATTGGGGTAAAATTTAATTAAAAATACTTTACATATTTAAAAGGAGTGAGTATAATTTTTTATTTTAATAAATATAAATATAAATATAAAAATTTAAATTTAAACTATTCAAATTAAATTTTTTTAAATAACTCAAATCTGATTAGATGATACTGATCACCGAGCACTTAAGCTGGTTCTGTTGATTAATGATCCATTTGGGTAATTCTTTGAATGCATCCATATTATATCTGGACGTGCTTTTATTAAATTTTCAATAAAAAGTTAAATTTTTTAAATATATTTTTGTTAGATGTAAATTGAAACAGGGATACTAAAATATTGAATATGAAACGGAGGGAGTATTTTGTTACTCCGGTGTTAGGTTCGCGTTCTGTCGCACCCTCTCTTGGCCTCCGACCAAAGACAACAGTATCTCAGCTGCGACCGAAATTCATGCTGTTGCCTAATCCGGAATCCGATCGGATCCGACTTTCCCATGTGTGTTATACAATTAGTAGGTGAGGCGGCCTTGACTTGATGTTCTGAAGTGTTTCGAAGCAAATCTGTGTAGGAACAATTACTCTCAAACGTTAATTTCTTTACCTCCAATTAATTCGCCTCTGGACATGGTAACTCCGGAACCTTTTCTTTGCTTGAAACATGCTTTAGAATCCAGAGTATTTTTTGGCAAAGAATATTAATTAATGATATTCATGATTCATAATACTGTCGTTATTGTTTGTAATCTAGTAATGCCTCTGTATGGCTTCAGGTGTTTTTTCCTTGTCATTCTTCAGTATGTCTGAATATGATTAGAGGAAAGATCCTCTTGGCTTTTGATGTTGTTGTATAGATTATTCGATTGAGAAGACGGTTTAGGTCAAGTACAGGGATGCTAACCTATTGTTTCCTTTTTGTTTCAAAATATTTGTATCAATTGTTCTACAAGATCTTGATGCATCTGTATGATTTGAATGTCCTAGACTTGAGTCTTCAATGATAGTATACTCACATTGGTAGGTCTTCATGACCTAAATGCTGCATGTTATATGGCAAATGCAATAACTTGAAAATAAATTAAAACCAGTTCAAACTTATATTCACAGGAGTGATATTGGTTTTGAAAATGGAAATAAAAATCATGGTTTTATAGACACACAAGTTTTGTCCAAACACCCTGTCAATCGTCGTTTCCCAATTTGCGCCCCTTTCCATTTTCACTCCTCCCAAGCACCCCCTGAAGCGGAATGAAAAAGAAAGTGGCAGGTGTTTTAGTATTTGCTCCTCAAGCCACTGTGATGCAGTTAACTTTGACGTGGGGACAGTGTGGCTTTTGAGAAAGAGAGGTTTTGTTGTGGATGTGTTGTGTGTTGCCCGTGCAAAATTTTAGCTATCTAAATTGAGAGCATAAAAAATCCTGGTGATCACACTATTGATTTAATTTACCAAATAAGTTACACCAGCACGCAGGATGGGAAACCTTTTTTTTTTTTTTTGGCTTGTTTTAATGTTTTAAGTTTTTTCAGGAACCCAAAACCCTTACTATGATTGTCTTTTAACTGAACAAACTAAAATTCTGTCCCATATCATTAACTTCTAATGTAGTAGTGCCCTTTAAATATAGTTTGCTTTCTTTCTTTATTTTCTTTTTGTTTTTTATCTTTTTGGCCAACATTTTGTTTCTAATTCCTTGTAATCTGTGTTTCATACATACCAGAAGCGAAGAGAGCAGCCACAGCTTCCTTGTCTAACAGAAGTTGAGTCAGATAGATTAAGTTGCTTACCTGGTCATGTTATAGATCACATTCTGTCACACTTGTCAATTCGAGAAGCTGTGAGGACAAGTGTTTTATCCAGCAGATGGAGGTACAAGTGGTCTACACTACCAAATCTTGTGTTTGATAACCAGTGTCTCCCCATATCTTCCCAGGATCATTCAATTATCAAGAACAAGCTTGTGAGAATTATTGATCATGTGCTTTTGCTTCACTCTGGTGTAATAAACAAGTTCAAGCTCTCCCATCGTGACCTAATTGGTGTGACTGACATTGATCGTTGGACTCTTCATCTAACCAGAAGGTCTGTTAAAGAACTTGTGCTGGAAATCTGGAAAGGGCATCGCTACAAGATACCCTCTTGTTTATTTACCTGCCAAAGTTTAATTTATTTGGAATTATTTAACTGCTGGCTTAAGCCTCCATCAACATTTTTAGGCTTCAGGAACTTGAAGAGTCTTGATCTACAGCATGTTACCATGGATCAAGATGTGTTTGAAAACTTAATTTCTAACTGCCCACTGCTTGAACGTCTAACTTTGATGAACTTTGATGGTTTCACTCATCTCAACATTGATGCTCCGAATCTTCAGTTTTTCGACATTGGAGGCAAATTTGAGGATGTTAGATTTGAGAACACTTTCCATTTAGCTGTTGTATCCATTGGTTTGTATTTGAACCTTGAAAATGAGAAAAATAGATGGCAAGGAAGTTCTAGCAATTTGCTCAAGTTCTTTGTTCATCTTCCTCATGTAAGAAGGTTGGAGGTTCAAAGCTATTTTTTAAAGGTATGATTCTTGTAATACTCTTCTATCAGCAATTATCTATTACATCATGATTTATGTCTGCGGTTTCCCAAGCGTAATTATACCGGTGCCTCTGAGATAGTGAGATGACACGTTCAAGAACACGACCTTTGCACGCAATTTAGGTGTGTATTATAATGATTTCCATTATTCTGTATTGTCTTTTTTCTCCAGTATTTGGCAGTAGGAGTTGTGCCGCTGAAGCTTCCTAGACCATGCATAGATTTAACTTATCTTTCCATACGCATCAATTTCAACGATTCCAAGGAAATTTCAGCTTCTTTATGCCTTTTAAGGAGTTCTCCGAATCTTCAAGAACTGGAAGTGTTGGTGAGTTTTTTCTACTGATTATGATTTAGTGTCATTTTGGTTCTGCGTGCTAATTTGCAGCTGTATACGTGGGTTATACCGTTCACTAAGTTGCTTAATTTGGAAAAATACTCATGCTTGAGTTTGTTCCCTGGCCTCTTAATGTTAACACTTGGATTACACATGCTTGAGTTTTCTTGATGTTAACACTTGGATTGCACATAGGCTCGCACTGAGGAGCAACAGACCACTCTGGGGACACAGGCCTACTGTTGGGAGGATGAGTATTGGAACTGCAAAGTGATGCAACTGCAATTTGTTAGGATAGACGGTATCTCCGGTATCAAACCGGAACTAGATTTTATCAGCTTTCTACTTCTATATTCTCCCGTTCTAGAACGGATGACTGTGAAACCTGCTCCTGCTCCTTCAAATGGAGGATCAGAGTTAATGAAAGAATTATTGCGTTTCAGGAGAGCATCAGGACGAGCGGAAATTATATACCTGGATCCTTGATGCTAGATTTTATATGTACATAACTGTATTTGGGCGGGCTTGTGGGCCGCTTAGTGAATATCCCATGGATCCTAATACTAGTGGTATTTTATGTTCGGTGACGACTGTACATAATTCCCGAGTTACTACTGTGCCAATTATGGCTAACCTTTTTCAGGTATAGCTAGCTTTTGATCGTTCGGGATCCTCTTTTGGGCCCCTTTTTTCTATCCAAAATTAAAGGGCTTGTTTGAAAATTTATTTCAAGAACAGTTTTTTATTCTTCAAAATAAAAAAATAAAAAAATGTTTAATAACGTATTTTTAAAAAATATTTTAAAAAATAAAAAAAATAAAATATTATTTTAAAGAATAAAAAAATAGAAATAATTTTTAAGTGTTTTGTGATTATTATTTTAAAAATAAAGAAGAATAAAAAAAATATATTTTTATTATTTTTTGTTTAAAACATGTTTTATAAAATATTAATTTTTAAAATAATAAAATAAAAATAATCTCAAATAATTTCAAAATTTTTATTTCAATGTACTTACGGGTTGAGACTAGTGAAAAGGATTTAACACTTTTTAAATACTCTATCCGGTCTAAGTTGTTTTTTTTAAGAAATAATTGATCATTTTTTTAAGTTATTTTACATAAAAGATAGATTATTAATTATTTTTAAATTTTTGCCCTTTAACGAGTGGGGTAAAAGATTAAATATATGAGAAAGAAGTTAAGTTTGAAGATGATGTATTTAATGAAAGTAAATTAAAAAAAAAATTGTTGGTAAGACAAGACTTATATAATAAATTTTACTCTCTTCATTTAAAAATGTAAAGTATTTTTAATTAAATTTTACCCTCTAATATAGTAGTTACTTACTTTCAAACTAATCTTACATGTTTATATTTACTCCTATTAAATACCTTACAATAAATATAAAGTCATTATTAATAGAGATATTTTTGAAAAAAAAGAAATGATTAAACCTCAAAAGGTTAAAAATGCCTTACATTTTTTAACACCTAACTTCTCAAAAATATTTTACATTTTTGAATGGAAGGAATATATGTTTAATATATTTTTATTCAATTAAATTAAGAGTTATAGATTTTAATGTGTTAATAATATTAATAATAAGAATTTATTATAAAATAAATAACCTATAAAAGTATACATGTTTTGATTTAATTGAAAACAAGTATTTTAAAGATATAAGATTAAGTATATAAATCTTTTCTTTGTTTACAATATCAATTATTTAACTAGTTGCTACTAATGAGATAATCAGAAATTATTTATATATAAGACTGAAAAGAATAAGGTTTTAAGAATTGTGGATTACAAAAATTTTATTGATAGAGAATCTATTCTAATCATGGCTTGGTTCAGCTTAAATTGGGATAAGTAAACAATGATAAATACATTTTGTTATCAATAACTAGTTGGTATTTTATGAGTTGCTATGTGACATTCTAACTGGTTCGTCGATTCTAATAATTTAAGAAGCTCACTTGCAGTCAAAGCCCTCGACCTTTCGTTGAAGATCCACAAGAACAGAGACAAATCCTCCGAAAAAAGACAAAGTAGTAACTAACTGACTTTTAGGCTTCGGTTTATCTTGTCATGCGAAAAAGAAAAAGGGAAAGGGAAAGAAGAAGAATCTTTCCTAACAGTGATCTCATTATCCCCTCCAACATCTTTTTTCAATTTATTATTGAATAACAAGACATGTCTAAGTCTGGGAGAATATTACATCATTTTATCATACCAATATAGGTCATTGCATTTCATTGAAGGTTTATACCAAATAGCAAAATCATCCTCTCTATTTTGAGTATATTTAGCAATCTAATCACTTTTCTATGTGAATACATAATTTTCACATTACAGTAAAAAAAAAATTCTCTTACCTCTTGAATAATTTATACAGATGTACCACCTAAAGCATTTGTGGCGTTTCAGGTCAACCAAACCTGTAAATCACATGTGAAAAAAGAATGGACAGATGTAGAATTAGTCAAAATAAGCCATACTGATTTAGCAATCTCATAGTTTCGAAGAATATGTAGAGATGTTTCTTCACTGTTGCACTCAGAAGGACATAACGCATTCTCAATGATTCCTCTCTTGGCTCTGAGAAAGTTGGAAGGGAGTTTCTCACAGATAATTTGCCACATAAAGTGCTTTATTTTTTGAAGGATTGATCAGTATCACATCTTTTTTCACAACGGATATCAGAAGGATGATTCTCATGATTTTGAAGACATTTATAAGACTAAATGAATGCTGAAGTTTCCCTCTAAAGATTTTTTTCCACGAAAAACAATCCTTTAGAATACTTGTGGGAGCTGTGACCATCTTAATTTTATGTACGATCCAATCAAGGAGAAATTTGAGACATCTAATAATGTTCCGTTCCCCTCCGGCATCTCCACCCGCACTATCAAGATCACTTCCTTCACTGTACTCCAAAAAAAAAAAAAATTTACTTCGTTCAATATGTTGCCAAACAAACGCTCGACGTGCTTGTGTCTTCAAAGCAGGTCAATTTTAAAAAAATTAATAATTAATAATTAATAATAATATTAATAACCAAAATTTATTATAAAATAAAAAATATACCTGTCTCATTTTGTTTGAAAGGAATTGCTAACTATACAAGGAAAATTTTTATTAAAAAATTAATTGAAATGACTTAACATCTCATAGAAATTTCAAATAATTAAACATTAATAATTAATAAATGAAATTTAAGTTTTAAAATATTTTATCAGACAATATAATGTTGTATTTGTTCTCTCACACTTGTTCTTTTTAGTATGATTGGCAGCTGCTTTCTGGTTTTTTAACTCTTCGGCTGTGCTGCATTGCAGCCTGCAAACTTTGTTACAACCGTTGGTCTCCGAGTCAGCGGGGAGAAGGCTACTTCCCAGTCAGATGTCAGTCGTGCAAACCCACCTTTCAAACTTTGGTCCCCATTTCCACTTCCCACAGGCCGCAGCTACCCTCTCCAGTTTTCTGCTGTGACCCATTCCTTAAACCCCTTTCCGCGTAAATAAGTAGACGCTGCAAACCACCTTCAATTCATCTCATGTTTAACGCCATTTCGAAGTAGAAGCAACCCTGAAAAAGTAAGTGGGTTGCCCTATACCAGAGCGTAGCCATGGCCGTCGACACCCCGCTACTGCAGAGCAACGGCGGCAGTGGTGATATTGTGGAGGCAAAGCCAGAGGGGTTTTTTAAGAGATTCGCGTTCGAGTCAAGGAAGTTGTGGCGGCTGGCTGGCCCTGCAATCTTCACCGCCTTGTGTCAGTACTCCCTTGGTGCACTCACTCAGACATTTGCTGGTCAAGTTAGCGAGCTCGACCTCGCCGCCGTTTCCGTTGAAAACTCCGTCATCGCCGGCTTCGCCTTTGGCGTCATGGTGGCTATATCTTTCCACATACTTAGTCCCTTTCACTTGATTTTGCTTTTTTTTTTTTGTCCCTCCTACTTGTCTGAAGGAACTGCTTCTGATTAATTTTCACTTAGTTGGGTATGGGGAGTGCATTGGAGACGCTGTGCGGGCAAGCATACGGTGCGGGGCAGTATAGAATGTTAGGGGTGTACATGCAAAGATCTTGGGTTATCCTCTTGACTACAGCCACTATCTTGGTACCTATTTATGTTTGGTCACCGCCAATATTGGAGCTCATTGGAGAGACTACCGAGATCTCCGAAGCTGCTGGTTAGTTTTATTCGAATGAATTTGATTTGTAAAACTGGTAGCATTATAAATACATGGTTACTGGTCAGCGTGTGTTATTTATTATATTGTCCAGGAATAAGTGAATAACAACTACAAGGATTTTAAAGGAATGTGACAGAAGTTAATATTTTATTCTGTTTTTGTAAGATATGAATCACGTGATTAACTTGTAAGAAACTATTTTTTTAATTAAAAAAATAAGATTATCATTTGTATTCTGACGTCTGTTTTTACTTTTAAATATCAGCGGAAGTATATGTATGTATATATATATTTTATGACTTGTACTTTGTTGTTGCAGGGAAATTTGCTCTGTGGATGCTCCCGCAGTTGTATGCCTATGCTCTGAATTTTCCAATCCAAAAATTCTTACAGTCGCAGAGGAAAGTGTTTGTAATGGCATGGATATCGGCAGTTGTTTTGGTGCTCCACACATTTTTCAGTTGGTATCTCATATTGAAGGTGGGATGGGGCCTAACAGGAGCAGCAATCGTTCTTAACACATCTTGGTGGCTCATTGTCATTGGCCAATTGTTGTACATTTTCATCACCACATCTGATGGTGCTTGGAGTGGATTCTCCTGGCTAGCTTTTGCAGACTTGTTCGGCTTTGTCAAACTTTCTTTGGCTTCAGCTGTTATGCTATGGTATTTCTCTTTCACTTCATACTCCAATTTTCCATTTGTTTTCAATTTCTTGGGATTATGATGACTAAGGAGGTTGTGTAAATGGGATGGCAGCTTGGAGTTTTGGTACTTGATGATACTAGTGGTCATAGTTGGGCGTTTAAAAAACCCTCTGATACCTGTTGACGCCATATCTGTCTGGTAATTAATTGCTCACTCTCCTCCTCTTGCCCTTCCCCTCCCAATTCTTGCCATTATATCGCCGTGCTTGACGTAACTTTTATTTTATGTTCCGTCATGTATGCAATTAGAAAATGAACTTGTCAAATCATTGCTTTGTTCAGATGTGATCACTGACAGCTTTCTCTCATGTTTGCAGCATGAATTTAAATGGCTGGGATGCCATGATTGCGATTGGGTTCAATGCTGCAATAAGGTGATCTCTAGTCTGTCCTTCCCTTTTTACAGAACAATTTACTGCCTGATCACGTCATATCAGATGCTTCATAACGAAACTCATTTGTGCCTCTGTTTCATGTGGTTATGACATTCTGAATTTCTTGCTAATATGTGGCCTCAGCAACTATACAAGTTTGGCTATTTAAAGTAACCAGTAATTGGTTTGTTCAACAGTGTGAGAGTTTCAAATGAACTTGGAGCTGGTGATTTCCAAGCTGCCAAATTTGCAGTGCTCGTGGTTTCCATCACATCCGTGTCCATAGGAGTGGTTATCATGGCAGTTGTGCTTGCAACGAAGGATTACTTTCCTTACCTGTTTACAAGCAGTGTTGCAGTTGCCAAGGAAACAACTAAGCTTGCTGGCTTACTCGCCGTCACAGTGCTTCTTAACAGTCTTCAACCTGTCTTATCTGGTTTGCCCCATAAACGATAGAACTCACTTGTTACTAATAACATTTAATTATGATAGTTGACCCACTCATGTTTCTGTTCTTACTTGTTAGGCGTTGCTGTTGGAGCTGGCTGGCAAGCTATTGTGGCATATATTAATATTGGATGCTATTACCTTGTTGGATTACCAGCAGGAATAGTCTTGGGATTTGTATTGCATTTTGGAGCCGAGGTGAGATACTATTGTATATACTTGATATGGTTAGGATAAGTAACATGACACACGGAAGAGGTTCTGTAAGCAGTAATGTTAATCTAATTTTACAATATATAGTAAGTAGTATGAGAGTCTTAGTTCTTACTCTTGATGTGTACAATCCTTGGATTCAGGGTATTTGGTCGGGAATGATAGGAGGCATAGTTCTGCAGACCATAATCCTTGTAGTTATCACCTCAGTAACCAACTGGAGAAGAGAAGTGAGTGTTTTTCTTATCTCCTTTCTATTTAGCAAATTCTTTGTGTGGTCTTAAAACTTGTTGCCCATGAACTGTACAGGCTGAACAAGCAGAGACCCGCGTGAAGAGATGGGGCGGATCAATTGCTTCTCAGTTTAGTACCGATCAATGAGAAGTCTATGAGGACTGTGGAATGCATCGCCATCACCGAGAGATTTTGAGTATGTCGTTAATCATATTACTCTGAGGAGCACAGCAATCTGGGGAGAAGTTTAAATTCTATCAAGAAGGAGGGTAGGAATTTTGTTTTGATATTATTTTAACTTTAAATGATTGTTAGACTTATCGGTCAATGTACGACGTTTAATGCATCTTCAACGAAGACTGGTTCACTTGAAGGTTGAATTTGCTGCCTGTTTTGGGTATGCCCTCCTTGAAAGAGTTGGCTTAGCTGGGAACATGCCTTGGCCGTATTGGTTGGCATTCAAAGTGCCCTTCTAAGCATATACACTAAGTTATTGTATTTGGATGTATCATTTTACAAATTAAAGTTTTGATTGGACTCGCAAAATAAAAGAGAATCCTTTTGCGAACAAGTTCACTATGCAAATTTGTCAGTTTGATAAAGAGCAATGAAGCATGAATATGAATATGGGAGGAGACTGCCTAGGTGGTTTGTTGGGGGTTGGCTCGAGAGTTGAGAGTAATCAACGGTCGTTGAATGATAGGTTGTAGCCTTTCCTTCTAGGCTCATTTGTTAGTTGTGCGTGACTGTTGATAGTTGGAAGTATATTATTTGTCCTTTTATCCATTGTCGTTGAATGATAGGCTTTGCTTATAATAATATATTTATGTTAATGATTCCTGCTAGGCAAAATTAAAATCCTATTTTGTATAATATACGTTTATATTTTATTCAGTGAACTGTAATACTAACTAGATTTTATATCCGTGATTATCCATTTTGAAGTCATTGATTTACTTTAGGAAAGTTTTGGCTGGCATGGATGGCTAGGATGATTTATAAGTTTCAAACCAACAAAATTACCCTACACCATCAAGGTGATATGGAAGAAACAGAATTTTTGGTTTACCTTGGACTTGGAAGTTTTAGCTAGCTTTCATGAAATCCCATTCACCCAATATTTTGTGATTGTTAGCCACGGTGCTTACTTCAAGGATTTTTCATGAATATATTAGTTTGTGTGGTTGTATTGTAGATTGATGTTTAGTTAACTTCCTTAAAATCACCCAGTAGAGACATAGAAAGTTATATATTATTTTGCATGTAACCCTTATGTCCCAACATCTTATGTCTATTTTCCACTTCTAAAACAATATCAGTGCTTTATTTATCGTTTCTATTGGCGGATATCATTAAATTTTCGTGGCATTTTGAGCTCTGTGCTTTTTTCCCCCCAACTATTAGTTCTGGAAAGGACAAAAAGGAGATTATAATTACTTCAATTTTTTTCAAAAAAAAATGGAGAAGTCGGTTAACAAATTTTAATTAATTCTCCCTCCTCTTATGATTTACATCTCTTTATTAAAATTTCATAACCTTACTTATTCATTTTTTAAAAAAATTGAATTCATTAGAAACTCATTTCTCCTCTCTTTCCCGGATTGATTATAAATTTACTTCCCTTTCCTCATCCTTCAACACCCTTCAACCAAACAAGGTAAAACTCTTTGAAGAAACCACATTAGCACTTGATGGTCGCATAAGATTTTTTTTTTCCTTTTTATTTTGGAAAGAAAATAGTACCAAGCCAAGTGCGTGCATGGGGATTATATTTAAAGTTTTGAATAGTATAGGTAGTACTTTGAAACGATCAAAATTATAAGGAGATAAGTTGAAGATGGAGATAAAATATGAGGACTAAACTATAATTTTTCCTTGCTTGTTTAAATTTAATTTTATAAGAGTTAGAGCTTAAAAAAAATATCTTTTTTTTATAAGAAAATAAGATTTTGAAGCCTACCTTGATATGAAAAGGGGGGATTATGGCCACGTGGCCTTTTTAGACTTTTTTGATTTTACCCCAAAAAATAAAATATTTTAAAGTTTTATATCAAATTTTAATTTTAGAATATACTTTAAAATTAAAATTTTTATTGTTTATTTTAATTCTTAAACATTATAATTTATATTTTTAAAAAAGTATAAAATATTATAATTGAAAACTTTAATTTTAAAAAATTGAAAAAAATAAAAAAAATAATAAAAACAAGCTTACAAATGTGGTCTTAAGTTTTTGAATAAAGGTTAAGCTTTTAAAAAAATGATTGATTTTGTAGTAATTAAGTTAATGAGATTTGAGCCCATATGCTTGACCGGCCTGTTACCCGACTTATCTAATAAAAAACTTATTCAAATAAGGATTACTATAAAATAAATTGTTAAAACAAAATATAACATGATTTTTTTTTTAATAAAATTTATTAGTGAATATGTTCTTGTCAGCTACTTGTAAACTCAATAAGGATTAATGTGGCTTGGGGCCGAGAAACGAAAAGGAGGCCAAAATAAAATAAATAAATAAATAAATAAATTTTTATCCCTTCCCGCTGGTTCCTCCTTGTTTATCCACCTGAGCTTCGATAGCAAGAGTTCGCGTTAGGGCAGTGACCACGTAGTTCAACAAAATGGCAATTTCCGTATCTTCCCTCGCGGCTTCCTTCTCATCTCTCTCGTTCTCTTCCCATATTTCCCAGAAACAGCACAGCCTCTCTTTTGGAAGAACCCAATCCATCTCAATCTTCCACGTGTCCCGAATCCCCCAGCTGGTTGCATCCGCCGCTGTCGCATCTCCGGCGGAATTGGAAACTGCTGACCTGAAGAAGTACGTAAAATCGAGGCTTCCCGGAGGTTTCGCTGGTCAAACCATCATAGGCACTGGTCGCCGGAAAAGCGCCGTTGCTCGGGTTGTTCTGCAGGAAGGAACTGGCAAATTCATTATCAATTACCGTGACGCTAAGGTCTCATCCCCTGTCTTTATCTCTGTATTTATGCAATATGTACATTTAATTCCCCTGTGTCCGCCACAAGTTCAATAAGTTTAAGATTGAGTTTTGTCCAGAGTTTTCTAATTGGGTGGCAGCTTCTGCATTCTATCGTTTTTAGCCACTGTTTTCAATATTTTACCCAGTAACAATTGCTTATGTTTATGTGTCTCTAATTGTTCTATCTGTTCAGCCTGAGATCGAGATGACAAGTTTTCATGAGATGGTTTGACATAATGTTGTGTTTGTTTGGCTTCCTAGTATTTGACATCTTTTGCATTGTAGCTACGGCTCTTTCTTGCTTTTTTTAAAGTAACTGATGGTAACAAAAATAGAAGCGCCTGGGCTTCAAATTACATTTACGCATGGAAGATGCTAAAGCGAAACTTTTAATAGAGGACTTTATGGTCAATCTGAGGTCGAACTGGCGGAGACAGAAGGGAGAACGCGATCTACGTGCTTATTTTTCTAGAGTATCTTCCCAAAATTAGTTGTCATACATCTGCATCGGTGGTTGATATTTGATTCCACCAAATGACAATGTTGAAAAGCTTGTTGTATTGTGTTCAGTTACAAGCAATATAAGTCTTCGTCTCTCTGTCATGATGGAGATGTGAGATATAGAGATGGTGACAGGATGAATAAAAACCAGTTGATCATTACGGTTTGTATTCTAGATGAAATCATGAAATTTCCTTGGACAACATTTGTGAACGAAGGGCTATCACTAGGTAGGTGATTAAACCTTGTAATCACATGGTAAAACTTCTCATATTACCGTTCTTGAGCATGAGGATAAAAATGCTTGAGTTGGAATAAGCAGACTTCTGTTTCCTGAGAAGGGCATTTTATCACTGCTTTGTACTGTCTATTACGATTTATATTTATCGTGGATGCTTGTCAATTTTGTGTGTTTCTCTTTAGGTCTTCTCATGTGGTTTGTTGATTTCTCTTTGCTTAGGAATATCTTCAGGGAAATCCATTGTGGCTTCAGTACATTAGGGTCCCATTAATAACTCTGGGATATGAAAATAGTTATGATGTTTTTGTCAAAGCTCAGGGCGGTGGCCTGTCTGGTCAGGCTCAAGCAATCTCCCTTGGCATTGCTCGGGCCTTGCTAAAGGTGAGTGAAGATCACAGATCACCTCTGAGACAGGAAGGGCTCTTGACCAGGGATTCAAGAGTGGTTGAGAGGAAGAAAGCGGGTCTGAAGAAAGCTCGTAAAGCTCCCCAGTTTTCAAAACGTTAAGGTTTGGACTTCCCGTATATAGTTTGTCGTTTTAATCTTTCCATGTTCCGGAGTTTAATTGATTTGAAAGTGACAACGGTAGTCCTGTGTAGCCATCTTTTTAGAAAGTGTATGAGATAGGGACGGAGGAGTAGAGCAGAGAAAAACTGAGAGAGGTCTCAAAGTGCATTGGATGCAGAATCCCATTAATTTATACCCTCTCTATTCTTGATTTGGACCATATATATGGTAAATACAGCGTTAGCTTGTTATTTCACTCTTACCCCGCCTCTCTTGCATGTTTGTTTGTGTCTTTGTAATATCTTTGTAGTCTCAAGTCCTTTTGTATGTGTATTGAATATTCCTGTCGCGTTAGCCACTGAAATTCTTTTTTAACTCTTTGTAAGCAGCAGGTTATTCAACAGATAAGTGCAAAATTTCTGAATATCCGCAATAACTGTATAATATGAATAAGCTTTGGTTGGCCTTGTTGGTGTTTTGATAATTTGTTGATCATGTAATTGGATAAGGAAAAATATAGGAATAATTATTTTAAGGTCTCACTCAAGACAATTAATCACTGTCTGGTTCATTGACAATTAAGTTTAGGAGAATGACAATTGTGTTATAATTTTTCTAAATTCAGCTGTCTATATTATTTTTTATTTTAAAAATATACATTAAATATATTAGTTATATTAATATAATTTATACTTATATTAATTATATCAATTATAATTTTAACACTTGCAATTCTTATATAAAATTAAAATTTTTTATGTTGATAATTTTAATGATATAAAGTAAGCAGGTGATATCTTTTTTTTTATAATATATTAATTATATTAATACAATTTATTCTGTATATCTATTCATTTAATAACTTTTATTGATATCATATTTTTTGTGTTATTTCTGGAAGAGTAATTAGTTTAGTACATCTCAATTAAAATAGAAGAATAATGATTTGATGTTATAATTGTTTTGCTTGTTGTTTTTACTCTTATAGCCTGGAGATTATTTGTAATTGCTATCATAATGTGTAGTTGTGATTAATAATATTTAATAATTAATTTTAAATTGTTGATATTTATGTACTTGTATTATTTTGATTTTAAACTTAATAAATTATATGATTTAAAATTTTAATGAATTTTATTATTCAGATTTTTTTTCGACGTTGTTCGATTTATCAAGACAACATGATGTCTCAATCTTGTCTTGGTCTCATCTCGATTCTTAATAAGATGAGACGACTTTTGGGACGGGATGGGACATGGAATAAAAATTTAATTTTAATCTTTTTTTTCGAGATGAAACACGAGATAAGAGTGTCTTGGTACCGTTTCATCTTATGAACACCTCTATTTGGAAGTAATTAATTGTCTTGAGTAAAATTTGTGTGTAATTTTCCCAAAAATATATCCTGATTTACAATTCCATCTTTTTTCCCTTTTCATTTCTCCTCATTCTTCTCCCACCCAACCCAACTCTGCCACTTCCCCCTCCGTCTAATCCAAAAACGTATCTGCCTGACTGCATCAAAGTTAGGAGGATAAAACTAAGGTTTGGTGTAGTAGGGTTGAAAATGACAAGAGCATTAACATGATTCCACCTGGCTAAAATTATGAAAAGATCCATTTAATTTTTCTAAAGGAATATAAAATTTTATATAGAAATAAACATTTATTTGATTCAATCTTACCTATTTTACATGTGGTGGATGATCTTGTTCATGTGTCTCAATAAATTCGTTTTCAAAGATGGATCATTGGGAGTACATATAATAAACTAAATGTCGTAAAGTACCATGTCTTTCTCAATACTATATAAAACTAAGAATCTTTGAAATGAATATTCAACAATTGTTCCAATTCTTGATAGGGTCAAATGAAGTTTACCTTCAAGCTGGAAGTCAGATTTTTCTAATAGCTACTCTCCCCTTTGTCAATCAAGCCTCAGCAATGATGTCACAAGATGAAGAGCAATGTTTGATTAGTTCTACACCTCTATGTGTTTGGAGACTCAGCTATTATAGCTAGCAGAGGTAACAAAGGTGGAAGAGGCGGAAAAAAACGTGACATTAGTTGGCTGTTTGGTTTTTATTCTCATTTTTTGTTTTCAAAAATTATTCTATAATATAATTTTTAAAATTATTTTTCAAAACAAAATAAAATGAAAATTTGTTTGGTTTTATCAATTAAAAAATAATATTAAAATTTAAAGATGAACTAATAGTGATGATTATAAATAGTTTTTTTTGGTTCTATAATTATGAATAGTTAATGGTGGTAATTAATAATAAAAATTAGTTAAAGTAATTATAATTTTTAATAATCAAATGCAGTGTATTTTAAAAATAAGAAAAATAAAATAAAAACAATTTGAAATTGTTTCTATTTTTTGTTTTTTAAAAAAATGAAAATACTTTTAAAAATAATTAAATGAAAAACACTTATTCAAACAAATTTTTAAATTTTTCTGTTTTAAAAAAACAGTTTTTTAAAATAGAAAACAATAACACCCTAGATCTCACAATATTGAATTTGATCCATTAGATATATATGAAATTGATTGTAAGAAAGAATATTGTACATTACCAATAAAGCCCTTTGGAGGAAACTAATTATGCAACCCTTTGACAACACGGTCATGAAAAAATTTTAAATAGTGGCTATAATATAAGGTTCTCTTCTTATTATCTTTAATATAAGATTTTTTCATATGAAATTTAATAAAACATATATAGTTTATTTTTACAAATGTGCTCATCTCTTTCACTCTCCACTTAAATAATAATTTTCAATGTTTAATTTGACTAAAAGTGATTTTGAAAATTCACAGAAAATTAAAATTTTAACCAATTTTTTTTTAGCAAAATTTTAACCAATTTTTTTAATTAATATAAAATTGTTAACATGTATCTATATTTATAACAAGGAGGGGAGAGAGTAATTATTTTAAGGGGCTATGGCGAGAGGAAAAGTGAACTAAAGAAAATTTTTTTTTTCCAAATGCATAAAACGATCCTTCCAAAAAGTCTCTTACAACAAGAGAATCGTGAGAGCCGAAAACGTAAAACCTATCATCATCCCAAAAAGTTGTTTTCATAGGGTAACTGTAACTCGACTTTGGGCTTTCCAAGCTAATTATTATTTTGGGTAAAAGAAAAAACAAATAAAATATAAGTCTAATAACATTTGGGACCTAAATTCATTTTTTTAATATTTTTTTTAATTTTTAAAATTGATGTAATTTATTCTCATCTGTTAATAAAAATTAATTTTAATAATTAGTTAATTAAGAAATAATAAAAAATAATTTCATAAATTACAAAAAATAATCAAGAGAAATTTTATTTTTTTATAATTTTCAAGATGATTTTTTAATTAATTTATAGTTAAAATAAACTTTTATTAATGACAGAATGTCAAATATTTTTAAAAAGTTGAAGAAAAATCTTACATAAAAAATGATAGAACCCATAGTATCCTATTATTTTTATGATAGTTTATAATAAATATTAACTTATATAAGTTTTTTATTATAATTTTTCCCAAAAATAATCTCGCTAAAAGGTAAGCGAACATCAATGTCAAGGACACGAACGAAGATCCAACCGTGACCGTTTTTTTTGCATGTTAACTCCGAAGACGCGCACGTCTCTCTGACCTTGTGCGTAATTCTCCCCGAAAGTTTACATCACCGGAGTAAGTCTTTGAGATCAGAGCAAATGGCGAAATCGAGCGCAGACGATGCTGAACTCCGGCGAGCTTGCCAGGCTGCAATTGAAGGCACCAAACAGAAGGCTGTTATGTCGATACGTGTTGCCAAGAGTCGCGGAATTTGGGGAAAATCCGGCATGCTAGGAGGCCGTCAAGCAATGGCCAAGCCCAGGGTTCTCGCTCTCTGCAGTACGTAATTTTCAATCCTGCATTTTCCTGGTCTGTCTTTCTAAATTCAAGTTCGTGGATTCTGTTTACGATCCTTCGAGTTGAACATGGTGCTTCACCCAACTCACTTTCGAAAAATGTATGAAAGATGAATGAAGTAGACTGGAATGAGTGTTTAGAAAAGCTTGTTTGCTCTGCGTTCTGCTATAATTGATATAAGTATTACTCTACAATAATTAATAATTGCTGTTGTTGACTTTGTTTATCTTCCCATTTCTTTCTCGTTACGTTCGATGTTTATTATTCCTGCATGAATAATTCTCCCTAATGACAGTACATAGTAATTTAGTGGTTTGGTACATTCTAAAGTAGCACTCCAGAAACTTGGATGGTTTGAACGCACCTAAAAATATTATAGGCTTTAGTATACATATTATGCGGCCGTATCAGATGATGATTTAACTTCCCTTCTGCTGCCAAAAATTCTTCATAATTCTTGTTATTTCTGCAATGGTTCTTAAATGCTGCTTTTGAAGTATTGTTGACGACATCGTGCTATTTCACGCAGTCAAAGTGAAAGGTCAGAGGACAAAAGCTTTTCTTCGAGTCTTAAAGTACTCCAATGGAGGAGTTCTCGAGGTAGCTTTCTCCTACCCACTTGTCATTGAAATGGGCGTTTCTGTTTAGCCTTTACGTGGGGTTCAGTTGATAAGCGTGTTTTCGGGCTTTTTTGTGTTTTTCGTTGACTTTTCTTGTTATAGGCAATTCTCCTGTTCTACATTTCCTTTCTCTTGTAATGATTTCCAATGCCTGAAAGGAAAATATCCTCCCAAGCAGGGGTAGAGCCACTATTTTATGACCACCCCCTCCCCCCGGGTGGAGGGGGGTGAGATTGAAATTTGGCCTAATTAATATAATTTTGGAGAGGATGTGATGACACCTTGGTTCGCTTGGTCATAGAATCTTAGTGCCATATTAAACAATCATTCAATTTAAACACACTTCGTTGAAGGCCAAAGGATTTTATAATTAATTGTGTCTTTCACAATATCTCTGTCAACTGTCCCTTCCTTGTATTCATATATATTTGAGAACTTCTGAAACTTTATTATAGACATACCACACACCTCCCTCCTCCCCTTCTGAAATCATAGTGATAAATAAAGTTGGGAAATGTGCACTTTCCAACAGATAAACTGAAACTAAATCACTTGATGCTTGACAGTTTCGAGGTACAGTAGACTTGGTTGAAGATCCCGTCATGCTTTCTATTTAATTTCTTTTTTTGTCGTTGTAGCCTGCAAAGTTATACAAGCTGAAACACCTCTCAAAGATGGAACTTATATCAGCTGACCCCAGTGGATGTACATTTACGCTGGTAATGGTCTATTCTTTCATTCTATGACAGCTCTTTGTTTTACATAGCGGCTCGGGGGTATAGTGTTTATGTTTATTTGTTTTTAGAAAAATTACCTTCGCTGTGCTGCACGGCAATTGTGCAGGACAGAGGATCTTCTGTGTATGTTCTATACAGTATTCTCAGCTGCAGCACTGAAGCAAAATGAGAAGCAGTCTTATCCTGTTTTGAAGTTTGTTTTTATCTCTCTATGTCATATATTTATATAGATGATGAAATTGCATCTTGTAGGGATTTGATAACATCAGAAACCATACTGTAGCTCCACCTCAGTGGACAATGCGCAATGTTGATGACAGGTTTTATCATTAAGAGAGAAGTATAATCTCAAAAATTCAAAATTTTATAGTAAAATTTTATGTTTGGACACAACAAAAATTCTTATCATGGCTATTACTTTTCTTGTAGGAACCGCATCCTAATGCAAATCTTAAATATATGCAAAGATGTACTGGGTCGCCTTCCTAAGGTTATTGGCATAGATGTTGTGGAGATGGCTCTCTGGGCCAAGGTGTGAATTAATGAAAGTGTTATATGGTTACATTCCAGTGAAAATCATTCTTTACTGGCACATTTCTATTTACTTGTCTTGGTTTATTGCTTTGCACTGAGTGTGGCTTATCTCACTTATAGTCATTAAGTCCATATTCCAAAGAAGTTTTTAATTTTTAATGATGCATCTGCTAATGGATTGAAGTGTCTTTTCAAAATCTTATAGCACAATGACCATTATAGACCATTAGTTTTTTCTTATTACATTTTTCTTTAAACAAATGTGAAATAGGAGAACACACCTGCAGTTGCTGCTCATACAAACCCACAAGATGGTGGTCCTGTTGAATCTGCTGTGACCGAGACAGAATTGAAAGTCAATGTAGAGAAGGAACTTGTTTCCCAGGCAGAAGAAGAAGACATGGAGGCTCTTTTGGGAACGTAAGTGCTATTCCTCTCAAACTTATTTGTTTGGATTGATTTAAAAAAAATGTGGAGGGTTCATTTCAGTGTTGCATGGCACATCTCTTTGTCTCCTCGCTCATAAATATTATATGAATCACTAGCAGGCACTAAATATGATGCTTATACGTGTTTATGAGAAAAATTTCAATGAAACTAGTTATGTGCAACGAATATTTATTGAGTCATTTTCTCTCACATGGAAACTGCACGTTAACCTTCCCACTGATGTTTGTCGTACTAATATCAATGTCTGAATGAGCAGTTATGTCATGGGTATTGGTGAAGCAGAGGCATTTTCTGAAAGATTGAAGAGAGAGCTCCAGGCTCTGGAAGCAGCAAATGTGCATGCCATCTTAGAAAGCGAACCTTTGATAGATGAGGTATAATTGTTCTTAAGTTTAAGGACGTCCTTCTGTTATTGCCATATTGTTTGTTAACCGTTATAAACCAGCCCTTGATTCATGTATTCCATGATATCTCCATTTCTACCTGTTACTGTTTAGGATAGAACAAAGCATTTGCACTGTTTACAGCATATATTAATTATTTAAAACAACTTATATTAGGAAGCTTTGTATAAGATCAACCTCTTTATCTAATTTAACCTTCTGCTTGATGCTGATGCTTCTAACTCACATTGAGATTCCAAGCTTTAATTGTATCTCAGCATTGTTATTTTCTTCACCTATTATAATCTGCTTTCTTCCCCAAATTTTGTTTCTCAATTCTAGCTCATTTCAAATTAGGTGGTTGAAATGATTTTTGCCTTGCAGGTGTTGCAGGGGCTTGAAGCAGCAGCACATTGCACGGAAGACATGGATGAATGGTTGTGCATTTTCAATGTGAAATTAAGGCACATGAGGGAGGATATTGAATCAGTAGGGACTTTTACCTTTCATGTTTGGAGTATAATTTGCTTAGCACAGATTAATTAGTGGTTGTTATAGAAATGCCTGCAAAATCATTGAGAATACTGCTAATTCTTGTGCATGCTAGATTTTTTTTTAGCACAGGAGTAGAAATTAACTTAGAGGGGGCAAAACTTAAAGTTATATAATAAATAATTTTTTAAAATAACACTAAATATAATTATATTCTATATGCTAGGAAAAAAAGACTAAATTAAATTATAATTAGAAAAGTTAATTGTGTGCTAGACTGTACACATGGCATGCAACGTGAAAGGGAATAAGCATATTTTCCTCAGTAAAAATTTATTTGATTTATCAATTGGTTAAGATTCTATAAATTTTTAACTAGTTTCATGCTAAAAAATATTTAAAGTTGTTGATAATCTATATAACAATGATAATATAAAGCAATTTATCCCTTTGTACATATACAAGTATCAAAATGTTCAGGGTGTCCAATGGGCTTCCATCTACCTCTGCTCCAGTAGATTGTTATCACTGCTCTTGCCTTGGTTCAACCTGTGCAGTAACTGAAAAAGGGAAATTATATTAATGATCCTGGTGTAATTAATTCTGTTTCTATATTATAATAATAGGTCACACATTACCGCCACTTTTAAAGATTTAGTTTGTTCATTTAAAACCAAGAGGAATGTGCGTATAAATGATAATTAAAAGCTGAAGGGAAAAATATTAATTTAGGCATGGATGTTTTTACCTATGAAAGTTAGATCATAATTGGAAACCTAAGAGGTGGCCTATCTTGCGATGCTACTGGTGTTCCTTTCTGCTTAAATTGAGAATTTTATATGTTACTTCTTCAAGTCTTGTAGCCAATATAATTCTCATAGTTGGTCTCAATTTTGTATTGTACAGATAGAAACTCGCAATAACAAGTTGGAAATGCAATCAGTAAACAATAAAGCTCTTATTGAGGAACTCGATAAACTTCTTGAGCGGTTGCATGTCCCTTCTGAGGTATACCTTTATTGGTCAAATTAAATGCTTTTTAGAATTTGACAAATATAGTTAGCCTAGTATTTATTGCAATATTTCACTGGGGGCAGCTTGCAGCTTGTCTGACAGGAGGTTCATTTGATGAGGCACGCATGCTTCGGAATATGGAAGCATGTGAGTGGTTGGCAGGTGCCTTGCATAGTCTCGAAGTGCCTGATATAGACCCTGCTTTTGCTAATATGAGAGCTGTATGTTCTCTGCCTTGCTTGTTTGACTTTTGAAAACCATCTGGTAATCTATTTATTCCACATGACAACCTTGTTTTTGCTGGCTAGAAAAGGATTGAAAGAAATTCAATTGGTTGGATAGGCACTGTCTGAGAGTTCTACTGTGCATTTGAGCTCAAAAGGCAGATACAGTTTTGTTTGTGGTTGATACTGCATATAGGAACAGAAAGTTATTTGCTTTAATGGTGGTTCCTGCTTGTCCTACAAGTTAACTTGTCGTTGGGCAGAACTTTGACACGGAAAACCTTGTTTTTTTGGGCCAAACATGGAAAGCTTGCTGTTTGTTATTAAAGTATTGTGTGTAATTTGATATCCAAGGTGACAATTATGAATTCTATCCATTACCTTTGACTGCTATGATTGTTGGAAAGGCTCCGTATGAGAGTTTTATTGTGAATTTGAGCTTGCAAATAGAGTACTTGTGTTTGTGGCCAATACTCAATACTGCATATATATATATATATATAGGCCAGAATATATAAATATATTTTTTTTTTGTCTAAACAAAGCCGTTTGTTTTAACTTTGTTTCTGGCTGTCCATACAGGTTAAAGACAGGCGTGCAGAACTTGAAAAATTAAAATCTATTTTTGTCAGGAGAGCTTCTGAGTTCCTAACAAATTATTTTGCCAGTTTGGTGGATTTCATGATTAATGATAAAAGTTACTTTTCCCAGGTATTTTCTATTCAGGTTCTTAAAAGAATTACAAACTTCAAAAAGCCTCAGAATTCTAAGCACCACTTTGTGGGCTGTGCTTGCTTTAAACAGAGGGGGCAGTTTAAGAGGCCTGACCATGCTGACTTACGGCACAAATGCAGGACATATGTACGCCTTCTGCAACATTTAAAGGTTAAATTATGAAAAACTTGACAATTTCTTTCTGAAGTTTTGTTTTGTGCGCATATAATTGGTGCTTCATCTTTTGGTTTATCCCCAAACTATTCTTATTTTCACTTGCAGAATCTTGATAAAAAATTCTTAGGTCCATTGAGGAAGGCTTATTGCAGCTCTCTTAACACGCTTCTCCGAAGGGAGGTCTGAGATTACAAACTATTGATACCCCACATTAATGTTGTTTGTTCATTAATCTGCTGGTGTTTAAGTTATTTCTATGAATTACTCTATCCCAATAAAAACTGAAGTCACTTTTATATTATTGGGAAAAAGAATAGAGAGAGAGACAGAGTGAACTCACTTTTATATTCAGTTGAGTAATTTATATACTTATTTAAGGTTGGTCAATGATTTCCTGACTATCGTCGGGGAGACAGTATAAGATTGAACTTACTTGGGGTTGGTCAACCATTTCCGATAATTATGCCAGTTCAAATTGTGCAGGTTGTATCTGATTAATAGTTTAATATTTAGTTGTCTTGGCATAAAATATTGGGCTACTCATGAACAGAGTCAATATGGGGAAAGAAATTATACTATTGGCGCTTAAGCTGGAATCTTGCTTACTTGACATTATCATGAATCATATGTAAACTTTTAAGCCTTTCAAATCTGCTTCCACTTGGGGGCCATCAAGTTTTAGTATTATGTTCTTACTTGGTAAGTTGGCATTATATAGGGGTTGCCTTATCTTGACACTGGGCACTTGGTCCTTGAAGGAAACGTGACTCAGACAGAAAAATGAAGTGGCAGGCTTGAAGCTTCGTATACTATTGTTGAGAAACGAGGGAGAGAAGAAGTTAGGAGGAAAAAGGACCATGCAAAATACATTATTGAAAGAATGTTATAATGCGTACATATATGCTGAAACCTCAATGACAATGATCACAAAACTTCCCAAATCCTTTAGTACCTGTTAACAGATATCATTTGCTTTTCATCAGAAGATCACATTATCTTAATTCTAATGTATCAGAGATAATTGTTAATTATTTTCTTAATAATGAGATTTTAAAATGGTTGTTAGCAATTAGCATAGAAAAATGTTTTTTTTTTTTTTTACTTTATAAGGCCGCATACTGTAGACTCAAACTACATCCAACTCTCCCTGGACCCTGCGCCTAGCAGGAGCTTCATGCATCGGGCTGTCCTTTTTTTATTTCATTGCAAATCTTGTTTGAATAGGGATGAGATTGCAGTTATTTTTAACTAACCAGGAGAGATTTTGCAATTACTTGTCTGCCAGCTTCCTCGAGACATTTTGGCCTGGATTATTTAGTAGACCCTTTAGTTTGGTGCTGCTTTATCTGTTTTATGATGACCCCTTCGGATCTTCCTAACTGTAACCTTAGCGACTTTTGTTTGCAATTTTGTATTGACTGAAAGATTTGTGCCAAGCCCACCTTGTTCTGTAAGGTGGTGGATGATGAAAAGAACTAGGTTTTTTTGTTTCCATTGCATGGACCTTGTTTTGAATTAATATATGTTGAATGTTTTATTCAAAAAGAAAAAGAAAGATGTGTGTCATGCCTATTGTTTGAATTCTATGACCCGTCCCTTAATCTACTGATGTTGCATTGAGAAAGTGTGCACGGAGTCATGAGTTTCTAAGTGTGCACGAAGTCATAAGTTTCTTTCTTCCTTCCACAGGCCCGTGAGTTTGCAAATGAACTTCGTGCTAGTACTAAAGCACCTAAAAATCCAACTGTTTGGCTTGAAGGTTCCACAGGTTCTGGTCAGAATGCAAACACTGCTGACACTTCTTCAGTTTCTGAGGCTTATGCAAAGATGCTCACAGTTTTTGTCCCTCTTCTAGTGGATGAGGTGAAATTCTTCCATATTTATTAACTTTTGATGTTGCTTAAATTTTTTAAATTACATAATAAAAATCTTCATGGCTTCAATTGCAGAGCTCTTTTTTTGCTCACTTCATGTGTTTCGAAGCTCCCACACTGGCTCCTCCAGGAGGCACTAATAATGGTAATGAAGATGGATATGATGACGAAGGTGATGAAGCCAATGATGAGGATTTGGGGATTATGATCACTGATGAGAATGATAGCAAATCCGGTGCTTGTTAGTCTGCTTTCCAAAAATAACCTTTCTTCTGGCACTATTAAGTTATCCAGAATTTCACAATTGGCTTAATTTTATAGGTATGAATCCTGCGGAGCTTGCATCTTTGAATGAGTTCCTTCAGGATTTGCTAGATGGAATCCAGGTATGTGTAGAAAATCCTCCGTATTGCTTTCAATGTATTTTTGAGCCTCTGATATTTTTGAGATGTAATGATAAAGCTCTGTGAGGCTTTCTAAAGCAATCCCCCACAATAATATTGTGAATGATTGCTAACAACCTAAGTTGCAAGCAACTTGATCTTCTTGTCAACATCAGCATCCTAAATAGAAAATCCTTGGCAAGAGAATGTGCGAAGTTAAATAATGAGATTCATTAAAGCTAGCTTCCACGTAAAGTGATGTGGATTGTAATCTGCATCCCGGGCTTATGAAGACGAAGGGAAGATTAGTTTTAACCTATCTACTGTTATTTTTTCTTTCTTTGAAGACAGTACATAAAACTGATATCTATTGTTTCTCAGGATTAGACACCCTTCATTGACTTGCAGGATTTGTTATCTTTGTTGATCAAAAGCTCGTACATTTTATTGACACCAAGCTACTCAATGCTTTCAGGAAGACTTTTATGCCGTGGTAGATTGGGCATACAAAATCGATCCTTTGTGCTGCATATCAATGCACGGAATAACAGAGCGCCATCTCTCTGGTCAGAAAGCTGATGCAGCAGGATTTGTATGCCTTGTGCTCGGTGACCTAGAGTCTCGGATATCCATGCAATTCATCCGTGTATGTAATTAGCATTACTAAGAAGTTCATTGTGCAAAATACATTCTGAAGACAAGGTTGCTAACCCATTTGTTTTAATTCGAACTCTTACTGTAGTTTGTAGATGAAGCCTGCCATCAGATTGAAAGACATGAGCGTAATGTTCGCCAAATGGGTGTCTTGCCTTACATTCCCAGGTGAAATGGATCCTCAATCTCTAGTTCTCCCCCTTCCTACTTCTTTTTAAAGAAACGACGAGTTATTTTTTGAAAATGATAGCACAGTTGTACTCTTCAACCAATTAGAGGCTTTAACAGCTTCTTGTAAGCTCTTCATTAAAGACGATCATTCACTATACATTGGTTTCTTTTTAATGCCCACTCTTCTGGGAACCATATTCATTTGATTTTTTTTCCTATTTCTAAAAGGGCGATTCTTTTGCAGCTATAAAGATGGCTTCTCTCACTTTTGGGAATCCAAAAGGGTGCTCAAAAATCTCATGACACTTAATGTTATGGGTGTTAGAGTATTTGAACACTTTATACTCCAAGTAATGGGTTGTGCCTGGTATTTTGAAAAACTGATTTCTCATACTAGGGAATAGCTGGTTCAAATTGTGCCAGTTGTTATGATTGATTTTGTCCATCCTGGCTTTACCATATGGTTCGTATATGGCTTATGTAGTTTTTAATTCCCTATAAGTCAGTTTCATGATTGGCCTTGGATAATTTCTATTTTGATGTTTAAATTCTGGTATTTTTTGGAAAAGAAAAATATTTTCTCGTTCTCAATTTTTCGACAGATATTAAAGCTATAACTGCAATGTCTCATAGTTCTCAGTTTATAAATCATATGATTCACATCTCAATTCTTTTTTTCATGATGGGCATCTATTATTTTCTTACCCACTCTTTTGTAGATTTGCAACCCTTGCGACGCGTATGGAGCAATACATCCAAGGGCAGTCAAGGGATTTGGTTGACCAAGCATACATGAAATTTGTGAGTAATTTTCATCATGAACTTGCGTGTTTTCGAATATATCACAATTTTCCCGAGTTACCTACAATTTCTCTTGGAACATTCTTCTTCTTGTTGTTTTTTTTTTTTTCGGTGAATGTTGGATAAGCCCCACTATTATTCCATTATCAAAACTTCCCATGGGCAAGAAACACCCAAGAGATCATCATACAGTAGAGACATCAACTGATCAGGAGGCTCAAAATCCCTCCTAACGGCAAAATCCAGTGAAAAACTCCTATTAACCAACCAATCTGCGCACTTGTTTCACTCCCTAAACACATGTTGTATCCTAACCTGAGTAAAAGAAGAAAGTTCTTTACAAATATCCCCCACCAGTACCTTATCAGTAACGCCATCCTCCCAAGCTTCCTTCAACGCATGAACAACAGCTGCAGAATCACCTTCCACCACCAAGAAACTTCACCCCCAACTCTTTCGCCAATCTGACACCTCATGAAACCCCCCATATCTTAGCATTTATGGCAGAACAATCACCAAGCTTCTTTGAAAAACTACCAATCCAACCCCAACCATCATCCCTCACCAAGCCTCCACATCCCGCCATCTTGATACTGCCACGTGCAGCTCCATCGAAGTTGAGTTTATACCACCCAGCAGGAGGGCGAGACCGGCTAATATTCACCACTTTCTTCCTGCCACCAACCATACCCCTACCACTAAGCACAGAATTGACCCCCTCCACATAATGCAGAATGATTCTTGATGGGTCGACAGGGAGCTCAAACCCATCTTCAAACAAAATTTTATTTCTCCAGGTCCATTGCCGCAAACAAGTCACCCCAAAAATTCTGGACCAGTCCTCAGTACCCATCAGATTGCCACCAATCCACTCTGTTAATCCCAATTGAAAGAAACCATCATTAACTTCCAACCTACCCAAACTATGCCGTATCCTAGCAGCCATCTCACAGTCACGAATGGCTTGAATCTTATTTTGAAACATTTCTATGTAAGCGTTTCTTTCAAACAGTTTCCTTTCAAAGAAAAAATATAACAATTAGACTTTTCAATTTTTAGAGTTGCATTCAATGTGGGTTTCTTATATAACAGAGAAGCTGACAGCAAAAAAATTTCATTTTAGATACACATTAATACATGGATTGTCATTTAATATGCTCGAGTAACTAGAGATAATAAATTAATAATGCACGTTAGCCTGCGATGAACTTTCCAGATGAAAGAACTTGAAACCTTTTGACTTCTTCCACATACAGTATGTATCCACTACTATATATGTTATACTGGATGATACACATAATTTGTTTTAAGTTTAACATTTTTATTATTAGTTTTTTATTTGAAATATTTTAAAATGGCCTAAAAACTTAATGAAAATTAAATTGTTTGTTGTTGTTATCTCTGTATTAGTTTCAAAATATTTGTTGAAAATTCAATTATTTTTATATTATTCATTTTTCATGCGTTAATTTATTGAATTCATACATAATCACATGTGTATATATCCTGTATCTATATTCTAAAATTTTACAATTTATTATATCTGAAGTGTCATATTATGTTTCATCCAATACACATACTCGTATTTGTGCATCATAGATAACATTTAAGGCATACACCGGGTTACTTGGGTTCTGGAAATTCTAACTAATATGTACATCAGCCAGAAAGTCAAGAAAGTTCTTTGTGAATCGACTTCTTAAATGAGAGAGATTTCTTTGAGAATCTTTGCCTTGTCTATATGTCTTGGTATTAGTGGTTAAGTTTACCGCTTACCCTTTTTGTCAGCATATGTTGCATACATGCAGATATGTGAGGAGCAGCCTTTAATTGATAGTATTTGAGTCTTTCATCATTTTTTCTTCCTTTCAACAGTCTTGAGCATTTTTTTTCTTTATTAATTTTAAACAAACTATAACTGCAATTTCTATACTGTCATTTTCTGGTGGGATGGTTGCTTTACAGGTTACCATAATGTTTGTGACTTTAGAAAAAATTGCACAAACAGATCCAAAGTATGAAGATATTTTTCTATTAGAGAACTATGCAGCCTTTCAAAATAGGTAGGTTCTTGTCTTGTGTTAAGCTGATATTGCAGAGAAAGACAGGTTCATTTTTTAACTCGCTACTTTTTTGTTAATTTTGCTCAGCTTGTATGACCTCGCTAATGTTGTTCCAACTTTGGCAAAGTTTTACCATCAGGCCAGTGAATCCTATGAACAAGCTTGCACACGCCACATTAGCATGGTTATTTACTATGTAATGCATACTCTGTTTCTCATCCGTTGATCAAGCATGATGTGTTAAACTTGACTGATTATCCTTCTTTTTCCTTGGGAAGCAATTTGAACGTCTTTTTCAGTTTGCTAAAAGGATTGAGGACTTGATGTTCACTATCCCACCTGAAGAGGTGAGTGCTAATTTCTGTGCCAATTTATCTGACTGTTCTTTGTAGATTTGCGTCATTTAGCGTCTCCACTTGTCTAGAAATCTTTTATCAATTATATTGTTTTTATCGTTCATATTACTATTTAATCTATGTAGATACAATTTAAAAGTTTGTCTGCATCTTATTAATGTCAAACTGACGATTATTAAAAAATAAATTTATTCAACAATGGATTTTCAAAGGGTTAATTTATTTAATGATGTAAGATTAAGTTTGACTGACATCAGTGCCAATTGATATGCATACACACACATGGTTCATGTAATGTTGCATCCTTCTTTTAATGGTCACGAACAGCAATATTTTTTCTACTGTGCAATGTTGAAGTTAATTTCCGGGCGCTGTCTTCCTTCTTTGGATTGACCTGACGTAGCATTATCATTTATCGATATTGCCGGGCACTGTCCTCCTTCTTTAGATTGACCTGATGTAGCATTGTCATTTATCGATGATGTTTCTTTTACAAAGGAGGCACAAACCTTGGAAATAGAGAATGGGAAAAGGATACCAAGACTCATTGACACTTGTGTTCACGAGAGTGTCACTTGAGTCATGGCTTTCGGAGCCTTTTTAATCTGTAAGAAAAGCATAGTACATGCGATAATAGGAGCTCAAAAAATTGCCTCTACTAGTGAACGTCTTAGAACTCTTTTCCCCCAGCGATTGTGAGATGAGCGGATAATATTTCGTTCCATGTAAAATTTTGAATATTCAGCAAATACCTGTTGTTCTGCATCAATTTCAGATTCCTTACCAGCTCGGGCTGTCAAAAGCGGATCTTAGGAAGATGTTAAAAGCCAGTTTATCCGGGGTAAGGTGATGCATATTTATTTGGAATCTGTCTTATCGTAAGTATCAAACTTATCTTGGCTATTATGTCTCAGGTTGATAGGTCTTTTGGTGCAATGTATAAGAAATTACAGAAGAACTTGACTTCAGAGGAACTGTTACCTTCCTTGTGGGAGAAATGCAAGGTATGCAGTATGAGCTCATTTGGCCAACCAGATACCACCTGTTTAAGAAAAGCAAGAAAGTGGTAAAAAAACTGCGGTAAATTGATATATTTTAATTGAAGTAATGAGTTGATCAAGAGAATAGTGCATCACTACAACAGATAGGTGCAAACAAAAACCAGTGAAATTTGCAATAGAAGCAGAATCTTTTGCATGCCCAGGTTTTCTAGTGCTTAAAGCATCTATGTTGAACTCTAAATGCATTTGATCCAAGGAGAAAGTGGATGGGGTATAAAGCTGGCACGATCTTCCATGCAAAAACCTGCACAAACTCAATTGGCGGTTAGGTGAACTACATTGTAGCTCCGTGTTGTGCAGGTTTGTGAATGGAAAGATCGTAAAAGCAGTGAATAATAATGATGCTATCTGATTGTGGTTTTTTCCAAAAATTGATATGACAGAAGGAGTTTCTTGATAAGTATGAAAGTTTTGTCCAGCTCGTCGCCAAGACGTACCCTTCGGAGAATATACCATCTTTAGCAGAGATCAGAGACATTTTAATTAGCATTTAAAAATTCATTTTGATGTATTCCTTTACTTTGCTTGATGCCTATAGTCATTCTTTTTTAATCGCCATATGTAATTTGATTTATTTTATTCTATTAAGTGCATTTATTGTGTAGGTTTAATTTTTTGAAAATTTCATTGCAAGTTCTTAACAGTTGGTTCATGATTTCAATGTTTGAATCGGATCGACCGATCGAGTATAAAAATACTAAAATCAATATAAATATCAGAGATTCAAACATACTAGTAATTTTTAATATCCCATGTGATTAAACGGAATTTAAAAATGATTAAATAATTTACTCTAAATCAAAGCTCTGCTTAACTGGGAAAGCAATTGTCTTACTGTCATGCTTAAAAAATTTCTCTCTCTTTTTTTTGGGTGGGGGGGGGGGGAGAACCCTAGAATAGGCTCGATTAAACTACACATACAGGATGGGTCCCAAAGAATTATATCAACAAAAAATAACGACAAATCAATATTAATTCAGAAATCCTGAAATACTACTCTGCCTTGGAGAGATGGGAGGAACGAATGAGTGACATGCCCAAATCCAATCAATGAATTGGGTCCCGTTGGATAACTATCTAACCATATCCTTGTTGTTAGGGAAAAGAAAAGGGAAATTTTTGGTAATTAAAAAGCTGGCCCCATTATAGGTGGAACTCCATTTTTTCGGTTGAATTCATAACTCCCTATGAGACTTGATTATCGAGCAAGTCTGGACAGCAGAAAAATGCAAGCTGAAGATGTCAGTATTGCTGCTGCAAAGCAAGCAAGATCGAACCCCGTGACTACAGGAACGTCCTTCAACTTCTCCAACACTCCGACCTGAAGTATCAGCATCACTGCATGCCCAATTTTCGACTTTGCCTGTCCAATAGATTCTATTCCCATCCATCGTGGAGTTGACTGAAATGAAAAACCCCCACCAGCCGTTCAAACGATCAGTTTTAAAATCGCACGTAACTATAGCTTCTTAATTACAGTCAAAAGTGATAAAAAGAGAGTGCATGTTGCCGCACTTACCTGAAAGTCTGGTCCATAAAGCCATGGCTGTTCTTCAGTCTTGGATCCGACAAACATGACGTACAAACCCACCCCAAACATGAGCATGCCAGTTCCTACCAGGAACATATCTGCCCAAAAACATAGAAACAAAAAGGATGCAATCAGATTCTGTTTTGAGGGTGAAGATGGAGCCCATGCAAAGGCTTAGTCCAGATAAAGACCTACGGCTTCGATTAGTAGTTTGACCACATGGCCTTGATCCGACATGTTTGACCAGATACGAAAATATTGAGCGTAGGACTGGATAACAAGAGCAAAACCCTGCATTTCGGGATGGAGAAAAAGTTTAACATTGCACGCAGATACAGGAAAAGGTAAAAGACTTGCAAAAGGAATAGCTCAATCAATCACCTCAAAGAAACATAATACGGAAGCAAGTAGAGATCCTAACACGGCAAATAATGTCAAAAACCGGCAATCAATGATGGCCTGCAAGTGTCTGAAATTGTCAGCGCCTACGTAGTTAGCTAGAAATGAATGGACGGGCATGCATAACATTACCTTCTGAATAAGCAGCTGGAGCTGTAGATCGGAAGGGCGAGTTTTGAGAGGAGAGGAGGTGGTCAATATAAGAGAGTTCATGAGACGCCCAAAACTCGGCACCAAGGTCGCAGTGAAGGCGGAGAATCCTGACGGAGGAGCTACAGGTGGAGGGTGGGATGTGAGGGATGCCTTCGGATCCGGAGCGGCCTTATTGCTTTGGGATCGTAGAAATGTGGTGAAGGAGGGAGCGTTAGAAGAAGAAGAAGAAGAAAGGTGGATAGGCGGAGACGGCGTGCGGAGCATTCTGGAGATTGCCATTGCAAAGGCGCAAGAGTTGAATTGAAGGAGAAGGTAAATATTGTGCGTTTTATTTGGGGAAAGAAGATTCGGAGCAACTCAGCCTCCGGAGTGCCTTTCGGACACCGGCGGGGACACGAGCTAGCCCTGTTGAACGCCAACGTGGCAACTCCTGGGTCTGACCTCTCAGCCGTGTGGGACCCATACCTTTTACTTTTAAACCGATGGAAGAACCCACTGAACATTTGTCGTTTTGTAATTTGTTGTCCAAGGATAGAAGAGCCCACTTCGCCACGCTCTCCATTGTGGATCGCTCATTTCAGAGATCCCGGAATTCGAACAAGGCCGAATCACTTTGACTTCCCACGCAATGCATCTAGAATTCTAGATACAGTACAATTCCATAAAATTATAAAATTTTTCTTTTAACAAAATTATCAATTTGTTATTTTAAAGTTCTCAATTACTTTTTTATAATTGTTGATCGAATTTTTCAGTTGCCAACTAAACGGTATTGATTGACAACTATTTTTTATCGAAATTAATTAACGATTGTTATTCAACAATAATTGATAGTTTCAGCAAAAGATATGGTATTTTAGAGAAATTTTATGAATTTTTTTATACTTAAATCCTTTGCATGAAACTTTAATGCTACGTTTGGATGCATGTAAAATTTGAATTTATATTTGAGCCAAATCTTACCTCAATTTTTTTGTAATTTTAAATATTTTCTAAATCATTATTATTTTAAATTTTAATGAAAAGTTTTTTTCTTTCATTTGCCTTCATTCGTCGATTTCACTACCTTGTAGACTTGAACATCATTGCCTCCGGCTAACATCCATCAAAATCAAACGGCCAACACCAACTGGGACCAAATTGCGGAAGTCAACCAAGACCTAACAAGCAACATTGATAGGGACTAAACAACCGGTGCCAGTTGGGATCGGACGGCCAACTTTGACTAGCATCTCACGGATAACACCAACTAGGACCGAACCATCATCTTTGACTGGGATCATACAGCCAACTTTGACTAGCATCTCACAGATAACACCAACTAAGACCGAACCATCATTTTTGATTGGGATCGGATCTCCCATGCCAACTAGAACCTAACTACCAGCACCACCCAAGATTGAATAGCTGGCGATGACCCAAATTGCATGATCGGTGTTGATCAAGACCAAAGGGCCAAAGCTGACCAGGATGGAACCATTGATGATGACTGAGACTTAATGTCTAGCTGTGACCAGGACCAGATGACCGGCTTTAATCAAGACCGAACGATCAGCACAAACCAAGAACAGAGGGCCAAAGCAAATCAAGACAAGATCACCGGTGTCAACCAAGACTAGATCGCTGGCTGCGATCAAGATCGAACCATCGATTGTAACTAGGATCATACCACCAGCATTGACTAGAACTGCATAGTCGGTGCCGACCAATACCTAACCACTATTTATGATCACCATCTTTGATCCATCTGCCTTTGCCATCTAGTGCTAAACACTACTTTAACGAGGAATGGTCTGGTGTTGTCATCTAGGTCCAATCCTCAGCCCTCAGACTACTGTAATCATCTTGTGTTAATTCGTAAGCACTGTTTAGTATCGAGCTACTGATGTCGATTGAGATCGGGCTACTGCTACTAATCAAGACTAGATCTCTGACATCATCTAGGTTCAAACAGTTAGAGTCGATTGAGATTGGACTGCCACCCTTGATTTGGACTGGACCACTGACTTTTGACTAGAACCGAACCATCATCATCGTCCTAATTGCCTTTAAATTCAAATATAAAATTTAAAATTTAAAATTTTATTTAAAATCCAAACAAATAATTTTAATATTATAATTTGAATTTTGGTATATCATATAAACAAAGAATTTAAAATTTATAAATTTTAAATGTGAGATTTTAAATTTAAATTTCTAACTCAAACCAACCAATTCAAATCCAACCTAAATGATTCTTCCAAACAAGTCTCTCCCTTTCGCTTCAGGTCCCATCAAAAAGACTCGTGTGCTTTTTGAGTAGTTTTGCTTGTTTCCCCACCAGGGGGGGTCATACCGACCTCCCTGGCATCTTCGTTCGAATCATTTCCATAAAATTTCTTCTAACTCCTGGCCCACCTCATTGTGTTTCTTCTTTTTCTTGGCTCACAATTTCTCGTTTTTCATGTTTCTGATTTGCATTTGGATCCCTGGTGTTGACCACTCAATGCATTTCAATATATGAACGTCCTGGAATCATATTGATTATATCATCAAAAACTTAATCCAATTTTACTATGATGTAAAAGTCCTTTTTATTTATGTTCCCCCCCCCCCAAAAAAAAAGTCATTTTATTCATCGTGTATTTTTCTCTGACTATTTGTACGAGGATGAATTTGTTCACCTGTGACGTCGGATGATGAAACTACTCTAATAACTCAGAGGTACTAATATTAGTTGATTCCATCGTCTTAGCGGACAAAGATTACACAATTGGTCCAAATCCTCACCCTACATTCTCTCCATACTTCTCTCCCTACACAATATCTGTGATCCATGCACCGCTCACTTAATCCTACAGTTCTTGCTTTGCTACATACCAGGATTAATTAAATGAAACGCATAATTTTGTTGTGAGAGACATTTTGCTGCATTGAAGAAATTCCTTTGAGGATTAATTAATTAAATAAAATGCAATATCTGTCAACAATAACAGTTTCTCAGTGTCGCTTTTGAGGCCACTGTTCTGTGTCTAGAAGGAGATGAGTGCGGCTGTTTCGCATCGAAGAAGGAGATCAATGTTTCTTTAATCACTGTTCCCAGTGCCTCTCACCAGCCACATCACGAGATTGAGTTGTAGGAGATCGTTGTGACCATTCCGTGTTAGAGAAGATGATGGATGCAGTTTTATAATCACTTGTTTGTCTTGGAACTGTTTGTGTCGGCATCACTCATCTTCATCACAGACAAGAATGAAACGCGCCAAAAGTTAAACTTTTATTTGCCTCAGCAAAGCAGGAACCGTTGGATCAAGTAAATGGTGGGTGGACAGCAGATATCAGGTAAGGAGAGAGGTGTGGAGAGGATGTAGAGAAAGGATCTGGATCCATTAAATTTAAATGACTTCAAGAAGCATAAAACGGCACATTAGGACAACACGACACCAAGCAAGCGTTGGTAGGTCACGCACCCATGGTTTTTTTTATTTCCTTTCCTTTCTTCTTTTAAAATACAAGCTCATGGTGAAACCTTAAAACTGTGTTTAAAAAAAAAAAAACGAGTTACAAAAATTCCTGCATCCAAGAAGGGGTAGATCATTGAAAATCTTAACACGCGGATTGTCTGTGAGCACACTTGGTTGACGAGTTGACAGGCATAATTATAATTGCTTGTTCAAAAACATGGTCAATAATGACAATATAGTCTCTCGATGATCAGATTCCTAATCTTCCTAATGCATGAGTTTAGAGCCTCAATCAAGTCATGTTGAAATTTGACATTTATCAGGCTCTATATATTATTTATTTTGCATCCGTTTTTTTTTTAAAAAAAATATAATATTTCGTATCAGTTGATATTGATTTAAGATCATGGTTTCTAGACACAGCGAAGGGGAGCAAAATGTGGGCTTGAAGCCCGTGAAGTGGCCCACTGATGGATCTGATTTTCCTGAAAAAAAAAAAAACAGTTAAGAGACATGTGCACTACTTTTGCCTTGGCTCTCGTTACTCTAGGCGTTGCAGCAGCTCCTTCACTGAAAATCAAACACACTTTGATAAGACCCGCAATGAAAAAACTTTGTTGTTCTTGCGTTGGAAAGAGGCGGTGCTACGCTGGGTTTAGCCCGTCTGGGCCATTTGATGTGTCTCCTTCTCGTGTTTTTAACAATGTCATGCCTTTTTCTTTTTTTTTTTTGAAATTTTTGTCTGAATTTTGGATATAAAATAAAAGATATACTAATATTTTGAATATGTATTTTTTTAATATTTCAAATAAAAATACCATAAAAATGATTTTTTTCAAAAATTTTAAAAATTTCAAGACTCTACCAAGCCTCAAAATATCAACATGTCTCTTATTTTATTTAGAGACTAATGATAAAAAAAAATTACAAAAAAAGATATTAAAAAAATTTAGAGAAAAATACATGAGATACCCAAGCTTGTGTTAAGCTCAAGTCATTAAAAACATGAGTTGTGTTTGGGCCTAAAAGGAGGTGTCCAACCTAAAATTATGAAGGGGAAGGAAAAATTGAAATAATAGGCTTAATGCTCAAATAAATATAAGGCTCAACTCATTTTTAAAACAAGTTTCGTGACATGCACGTATTCAACATATCCTTTAAGATTTGCAATAATTGGATGTTGGAGACCATTGAGTGAACATGGGGTTGTTATCTAATGTGCCAAGAATCTCACAAGGTTATGCTTAGTGATCACAAATGTTTCGTATATAGGCTTTAGATTCTTTGGGGGCAACAATATCAAGCGTACGATTATAAAAGAGGCTCAACTAATGCAATTAAGAGATAGATAAGAATAGATGAAATACACACTGTCTGAATCAAAACAGTTTCAAACTTATTTTTTGAATTCATTTTGCCTTGTATTCAATAATTAGACTTAGGTTTTTAATATACAAGTTGTAATTGATGCAACTTTGTACATTAGCTTTCAGTAATCAAAAATACCATTTACACCAATCTTTTTACATCTTCACATCCAGGTGAATTAATGTAAGAGAGCTTGGGGACCTTGCATTTATCCTTGAAATTATGTGTCTCTCACACACCTGGCCTTTGTCATTCAGACACAACATTCAATTTGTGAAGAATAATAATTCGTGGCACGTCTAATGGGACAAATGTGACAAAGATGCCCAGAACATCCAAAGAAAAAAAGATTGATGAGAAGTGTGATGGTTTTCACAAACTAAGAGGAGGCTCTAAACACATAAGGTTAGAGGAATCATTAGCGCACAACACTGGGATAAGTACACATCGTGGGCACATGGTGCCAATGACAACAAGTAGTTGTAATGCAAGCCTTAGCTCAAGGGCAGGTAACGAGAATATAAATCCTCTGGCTGTATCCAACAAGCTTGTTGTGGAAGAACTACATTGAATTCGAGATCATATGGATAAACAGCCAAAGAAAAGCCAAAAATTCTATGCACTCTCTCTCAAAGAATCAGAATGTAAAGAAATTGACAAGTGATGATACAATTCATTTTATCATAATAACAACATTTGGGATGAAACTAATTAAAAATAATGGATAAATAACAGATAGTATAGCAATAAACACCTTAATGTAGGGTAATGAATAACATTATATAAA